GATAGATATGAACAGTCTTAGATAGGTAGATAGATATGAAAAGACTTAGATAGGTAGATAGATAGATATAGATAGATAGATAGATAGATAGATAGATAGATTATCCGTACGGTAATATCAGCACTCGCAATTCCGTAACGAGTTTTGGAATAATAGCTAAACTGTTTTCGGTACCCAGTTTGCCTGTACCGTATGATAAAAAAAAATTCCCGGAAGCGGTCATTAACTCTTTTTAATATCGTAAAGAAAGTTTTTCCCTGAATGTCAGATCCTTACAATTATTGTCAAAGATATTGCCTAGGATTTGTTAAACAATGGAAGAAATGCGTCGTGCTTATTTACATTGTTTAGGTACGGACTCTTGTCCTCATCTTTATTGTTTTTATCACAACATTCCGACCGTTATGTCTCCCGAGAAAAATCTAATCCTGTAGATTAAATAAAGGGTTAATTTTGAAAAAATTCCCTGTAAGTTCCTCGGATCGAGATACACCTGATGAAGGCACAACGGCCGAAACTTTGTGATAACACTTCATTGTAGAAATTCAGACAGAAATATGTCATACCGTTGAGCAATCAGTTTTTGTTCAGATGTCTTCATCGCAAAGCTCGATTGCAATTTGCGCTTCCAAAACCAAACCCAGGCTTACTCCTGTTGGAAGAACCCCCTTCTGACTAACCATGTCTTCAGGGGCGTAGCTGTACTCACAACGCTTGGCCAATTTACACATGCCTACGTGGATATAAAAAAAAAATGTGATTTTTGAAAATCAGTTTTTTTGGAGCGATGTGACTAAAATAATTTGATTAGAATCAGGCACAGCGAATAGGGAGTAAAAGAAAAGAATCGATAGAACCTGGGAACATAATACCTAGAGTAAAACATGGCCGCTTCAGTCTTATACTTTGTTGGAACAATTATCCGAAACACACATCTGCATTAGTTAATAGACAAGATCGATGTCTTCCCCTGGCTTATAATGATTCTGGCCCTGAATTCAATTAAAAATTTGTAGCGGCAGTAAGACAACATTCAAATGTATTATATCTGCAGCGGTTGCTATTGAAGAATGGAACATTATATCGAAATAAATTTATAATATATGAGTTACTAATTCGAGAAAGTATTTGCTTAGAGTAAACTATGGTAATGATATTGATTATTAGCTGATGTGTATGTGCAAATTTGTTCTTAGCTGTTTTGTTTTTGTTATGTATATAGAGATACTGTATTGAAAAAAAATTATAGAATGCGTTTTGAGCATTTATTCAATTCCTATGACGATATTATAACATTTATATGAAAAAAGATATATTTTAATGTTTGAAAAAAAATAACTGTATTCTTTGAAATTAAATCCATTCTTCCCTATAGCTAATTTTGTGCTTTACTTGAGATAATGAAGAGAATGAGATAGATAGAATGAACTGAATGAGATATATCGATATGAACAGACTTAGATAGATAGATAGATAGATAGATAGATAGATAGATAGATAGATAGATAGTATAAACTGAATTAAATATATATATAAATAATAACTTAGATAATGAACGAAGATAAACGGAATGAAGTAGTATGAACAGAATGAGATAGATAGTATAAACTGAATAAAGATATATAGATAGCAACAGACTTAGATGGATAATCAAGAGACTGAGATAGATAGATAGATAGATAGATAGATAGATAGATAGATAGATAATAAACAGACTGAAAGAGATAATGAACAGACTGAGCTAGATAGATAGATAAATAGTATAAACTGAATGAGATATATAGATATGAACAGACTTGGATAGTATAACCTGAATAAAGATATAGATATCAACAGAGATAAATGAACAATGAAGAGACTGATATATATATATATATATATATATATATATATATATATAGAGAGAGAGAGAGAGAGAGATAATGAACTGATTGACATGACTAGATAGCTAAAATAAAATAGTATGTATTGAACGAGATATATAGGTATGAGAAGACTTACATAGATAATGAATAGCATAAATACAGATAGCATAAACTGAATGAGATATATAGATATCAAAGGAGTTAGATAGATGAATAAAGATATATAGATATCAACAGACATAGATAGACAGAATGAAATAGATAGTATGGACGGAATGAGATATATAGATAGTAACACTTAGATATATAGATAGATATTAACTAGACACAGACGTGACTAGACTGAAATTGCTTGCTAGCTAGTTAGCTAACTAGATAGATAGATAGTAAGAACAAACTGAGATACATATGGACAGACTGAGATAGATCGATCGGTCCATAGATCGATAATGAAGAGAACGAGATAGATAGACAGATAGATAGACACGAGGTGGTGATGAAAGGTTATCAGCCCAATTAAGAAGTACTTCCTTTATAAAATCTGCTTAGTTCGTCTGATTTGCGGAATTTGGGGAGAATGATAACCTTTCTTGAAAGAAAGGAAGATAGATATTAATATCTACTCTGAGTATCATAGAATCACATCTGTTTTTCAGTAGACCTCATGGGCAGGAAAAGAGAGAGAGAGAGAGAGAGAGAGAGAGAGAGAGAGAGACGAGAGAATAAGTGAGAACTTAATGTGACCCTATGGCTAATGTGGAAGTGTAGTGTCAAAGACTGATTGGCGATCAAAATTTGGTCTAAGGCGGGAAAAGAGATTTTAAGGAAATCCCTTTTATTGTATCACTATTGAGAATAGTGTAAGACGAGGATATTAATCGAATACAAGCGTCAGATGACTTTGCAACACTATGTGTCTGAAAGAGAAGAGCCTATATTGAGGAATAGACTGAACAAAACAAAACAAAAACAGGTACACAAGTTAATGGAAATGCATCGTAATTCTTTTGGTTTGGGTTTGGTTTGCTTTGTATTGCGGCATATCAACCTTAATGGGTTATTTAATGCTGACAAAATTTTTATTGCTGGTAATATTTTTTTTTTCAAAAATGTATGGCTGGCAATTTTTTTCAAAAATGTATTACTGGTAATGATTTTTTTTCAAAGTATTTCTGGTATTAAAACCTATTTTTACACTTTTATTGTGTTTTGACTCCAGTTTGTGGGTTAACTATTTGCCCATAGCTGGGACCCTAACAGGTGCTACCACCCGGGTCAGGGTTGACCTGGGAACACCAGCAATTAAGATGTGGTTCCACGACGCTCCTCAAAACCACCTGATCAGAGGCCTTGCTGTTGGACATAGTTTATCGTCTTACCCAGGACGCGGATGTAGTTTATCGTCATACGCAGGACGGGACCCTAACAGGTGCTACAGCCCCGGGTCAGGGTGGACCTGGGAACACCAGCAATCAAGAGGTGGTTCCACGACGCTTCTCAAAACCATCTGATCAGAGGTATTGCTGTTGGACATAGTTTATCATCCTACCCAGGACGCGGATGTAGCTTATCATTATACACAGGACAGGCATCGTATTTCTGATATATATATATATATATATATATATATATATATATATATATATATATATATATATATATATATAGATCAGCTGAGGCACAGTGAAGTAAACGGGTTGAGGAATTCCAGTCGAGTTCGTTAAAATTCACTTGCATGCAAATACCCTTGGAAAAGGTATGAATCCATCTCTTCTCGGTACAGATTGGAGTGGCAACCCGTCTAGTACAAGGACAACTCTGAATTTAAAACTTCCAATTATGGGTCAATAGGAAGGCCGGCTATGTTCTGTAGCCATGGATGGCAAACAGTCTAGGAGAAGAACAACTCTGAATTCAAAACTGTATGTTGTCCTGTCGAAGCACATACTATGCAGCAAACGAAAGGATCGTCGAATTCGCATTGACTCGATGATCCCGATTACGGCCGACCTCATTCAGTAGAAGGTGGCGAGTCCTACAAGAAAAAGGAAAAGACGCAAGACGTGGCAGTGACGAATCAGCAATTAGCAAAAAGGTGATATTTCCTGGTAAAAAAATAAGGACCCTCTCTCCACAAAGTTCTTCAGTGAGTGTTTCGCGATTGGTAGCGAGCCGATGGTCTACAAAAAAAGCTGTTTATTTTCATTCAAAGTATCCTTTTCGTCAGTTACAAGTGATCAGCACTATTTCTCTGACGGGGACAATAAAAGTGGCCAATACACATCCTAATGCGTTGTGCAATTTATTATTAAAAGAAAACCTTTTGACAAGTGAGAAGCAGGCTTTTGAAATCCAGTGTGAAATCGAGACAGTACGATTTTGGCGAATTGGTCTGAAGTCAGTCGATACGACTCACTATGTAGCAACGACCGTAGTTCGCCAAGGACCAGTACATATGATGTCAGTACTATGTCACACTTAGCAGTTGAAAAGGTCAGGTCCGTATTGGTGGGAAGAGAGTCGATCGTTAGTGGATATCCTTCGGCGCTCAAGTCGGCAGAATATCCGAGGGCGTGATTGAAAGTAGTTATTTTCAATAGCAGCTAATGTTTAAGAATATTCACATTTGTTTGTTTATTTCTTTCTTCTTTCTTTCTTTGTTTTTCTTTCTTTCTTACTTTCTCAGTTTTTTGTTTTCTTTCTTTCTCAATTTCTTTTTCATCACTTTTTCTTTCTTTCTTTCTTTCTCAATTTCTTTTTTCTTTTTTATCACTTTTTCTTTCTTTCTTTCTTTCTTTCTTTCTTTCTCTTTCTTTTCTCGGTTTCTTTTTTTCTTTATTTATTAGTTTTTTGTTTTCATTCTTTCTCAGTCTCCTGCTTCATTGTTTTTGGTTACTTACTTTCCTTCTCAGTCTTTTGCTTTCTTTATCCTTCTTTCTTTCTTTCTTTCTTTCTTTTTCAGATTTTTGTTTTATTTTATTTCTCAATTTCTTTCTTTCTCTCTTTCTTTCTCTCTCGGGTTCTTTCTTTTTGTTTTTTTTTTTCCCTCGGTTTTTGTTCTCTTTCTTGCTCAGTTTCTTTCTTGTTCTTTTTCTTTCTTTTTTTTTCTTCTTCTTTCTCTGTTTCTTTTTCTTTCTATTTTCTTTCTTTTTACTCAGTTTTTTTTTGTTTTCTTTCATTCTCAGTTTGATCTTTCTATCTCAGTTTCTTTCTTTCTTTCTTTCTTTCTTTTTTTCTTTCTTTCTTTCTTTCTTTCTTTCTTTCTTTCTTTCTTTCTTTTCCAGTTTCTTTCTCCGCCAAAATGGTACCCGTGCGACCACAACAATATCTCCCCTTCATCTTTACAATGTATCCCATAAACACATAGAAACGGGTCAGCGCCGCTACAAACAGACGACATCATGCCGTTAAATCTTTTCTAATGGCAACCTGACATCCGACCGCATTGGCTGTAGTGTAAAATATGTTACATCTTCGTATAAAAAAACATTAAGTCCACCTCTGACGGTAGTCGTCGTCTCACTGTGAAAAGTAAGTGAGAAGAAACAGTAATTATATCAAACTGGCTGTAGCTGTGAATAATTCAACGGTTTTCTGATGAATAGTCATTTTTAATTTATTTCCACGGGTATATAATATACTCTTGGAAATTCTTTTCTCTCGTTAAATATTTGAGCTTAACTACTTTAGCCAAATATTGCAATGGCATATCCAAGTATGAATGCAAAAAAAAGTAAGAGGGTACAAATTGAAAAGATTCAAAATTGACAAGGTTTTCTATTTCACTGGAGCAGATTTTAAACGCATGAGAGCGATATCGACTCCTCTATATTATCTTTTCTTCTTATTATTATTATAGTGATTCTCTTAGAGTAGTTTAGATGTGGCAAAAAGCTGAATATGTGGTGCACCCAGTGAGGATCGAACTCACTACTATGCTGTAATTGATCTAACGAGATAAGCTTCATAACCATTACACCACGTCGAGGCGCCCTAAATGATCTTCTAAGCGTAGTTTAGATGTGGCACAAGGCTGAAAGTATGGGGAACCCAGTGAGGATCGAACTCACTACTCAGTCGTAATTGATCTAGCGAGACCAGCTTGTTAACCATTAAATCTTTTACCTTTTCTTCGTATGATTATTTATGCATTCTTTTTCTTACTAAAACCAAACAACGTCTCTCGAATGTGTCTATTCAGTCCGTTTTTCCTTCAAAATCAAGACGAAATTGGCCATTATTTGTCTAGGGCAATGGCAGGACATGCTAATTGATTTTCTGACTAACGGAAAATCAAGCAGAATTATAATGTGATACTGAAGGAAAAATGGATGAACGTTTGAAATGTATATTCTCTGATGTTTTAAAAAAAACTGCAAAAAAAATTGAGGAGAATTTTACAGAAGAAAGAAAAGACAGAAAATAAAGAAAAGTTTTTTTTTTTTTAAATTCTTGATTTTGCTGGAACATGTGGCTTCTTTCTGTTTGAATTTATGCGATGAGAAGATATCATTATTCACATATCAATCATTGTGCTCTCAGGCCTTTATCAGGCCCCATGTATGTCGATCCAGGGCAATAGCCAATAGCATCGTGCAGGGTTTCCCGAACTTTTTTTTTGTGTGTCATCGCCCAATTTCACAAGGAAAAAACTTTCCACCGATCACCTGTATAGTAAATATTCCAAAACATACTAAAATTGTTTGGCAAAAGTTTGTTACTAGTTCATAAACTCACTTTATGATGAGGTTAAAAAAATACCAAAGGGAAGTAACAATAACGTGGACTTATACGACGTTTTCCGCTGCTATTACTACAATATTAAAGAACAAACGAAAGCAAACTTTATAAATGGAAACAAATATATATATATATATATATATATATATATATATATATAATTTATATACATAAAATTTAATTTTAGAGTCAGTACACTGAGATCAACACGGGGTGGCGACAATCTGTTTTATGTTTGGCCGATATCATCATATCTGAAGATTGCATTTAAGTATTAAACAGACTATCGCCACGCGATGTTGACCTCTGGGTTGAATTTTATTTTTGCATTATTTCTATCCCTGATATAATGCATTGTAACCCATAAATATCGCATACCTTAAAACTATATTTTTATTATAGATACACACATACAAAAAACACACACACATATATATATATATATATATATATATATATATATATATATATATATATATATATATAATTTAATTTTAGATTCAATATTAGTTTTTTGTTTGTTTGGGGTTTGCGTTGCAAGTGTTGCCAATTAAAATAATTATAAAATTGAAAAGAATACACACGATTAACAAGTAATAAAATATCAGCGAATCTATTTTTGTTGTTCTTGGTCTTCCATTAGATGATTTACATCCGAAAAAATTATTTCGTCTGAAGTACTATTTGAATGATAATGACCCTTCTCCAAACTATAGAAAATACCAAAATATTCGTTATTTGTGTGGATATTTATATCTACTCTATTGTTTGTCGGGTAGCATATGTTGAAATGCCTTTTTTAATACTCAATATCCTATATCGCCTATCAAAATTTCCAATCGCCCACGATTTTCTGTTGCTCATCGTCCACTCAACAGTTGAAATCGCCTACCGG